CATCGACGCGGATTTCCAACGGAATTTGCTGGACCTGATTTGACCTACCTACTGTCGAAATGAGGTTCTTCTCCAGTGGAGGAGAACTGCCGAGCGACGTTTTCTTCAACTGGGACAGGGCCGTTTCTTTTTTTTACCTTTGGCAACGTTTCGCTGGCAGGAGCACCTGCGGCAGGCTTTAGATTAGCCGCCAGACTCAGGGGGTGCAGAGAGCGCAGCGGGCGAACGAACAGTGAACTCTACACCTGTGGGAAGTGTAGGTTGTGGGCAGGTTGGGGTTTGTTTCAGAATAAGGTCTTTGAGACCTCTCAGACTGGTGGATGCTGATCCGAATTTCTTTAAGGCAGTACTTCCTTCAATAAAGTTTGTCAGCCATCCACTTTGAGACTTTGAGGTGTGGAGAGATTTCCAGTTCCTCTTCATGAAAACCTCCCTACCCAGACTGCGTCATCCCATCACTGTCATCCCACTGCCCACAAGAAAAACCATCGATGTCTTTTGACCAATGTGGACCACTCAGCCGCAGTCAACCAACTGTCGACCCGACCTACGTGGCGTTTCAGTGCACGGGGCCGTCTCCACCGCGCGCGGCGCGCGTGAGCGAGAGATGCTTACGACCCACCGAGGCCAATGCGACCGGAGGTGAGACATTTTTTGGGATTGGATACTTGTGGGATGGGTCTACCGTCTACCCTGGACTTGATGGGTCGACCATGAAAAACGACCGGACAAACGACCTGGTCCCGGACCGAACGTCGATTCCAGGAAGGAACGGTCTCGACCGGTCCACCGGTGATGAACGTGGGTCGCTTGCCATGTGCGCACATGCCACATGGCCACAAGAAGAAGAAGAGCGGGTGTGCGGCTCCCCCCCAGTACTCGGTGATGAACGTATTTAACAGTACTCAAAACACATCGATTATGGCGTTTTTCAGTCTCGTTTTTTTTCACACCATTCATCTTCCAGTGAAGTAGAGCAGCTGTTCTGCGTGAGAAGGGCGCATAGTAAGAGGGATCCATGGGTACCATCACCTGGGTACGTGGCTTGAAATGGAGCTTCTGAGAATAGGGCCGAATAGGGTGCAGTGTGCAGTGTTCTTTTTTCTTCTTTTCTGCTAGCTTTGCTCCTTGAGATAAAATGGGAGGATTCCTGAGACTTCTAGGTCTTCTAGGTCGTGCAGGCCCGTGCCATTCCAAGGAACCCATGTTTATGCCTCAATCGCCTCGCCTCGAGACACGGTCCTACTGGTGGCGCCTTTGAAGCATGTCCGTCCGGCTTCCGAAGTCGAGTCCGGCCCCCCCGTTGCGCCTGCCCCCACAGCAGGACCAGAGAGGCCCCGGGCGCTCAATGTCCGGGGCCGAAGGATTCGGGCATGGTGAGGTTGGGAGGGCATGGCGCTCGAGTGGTGAGTTGGTCAGGTACGGCACTCCGGTGTTTCTCTGGTGGTGCGATGTGATGCTTCTTTCCATCGGTTTCGTTTCAGGGGTGAGCGAACTTCTCTCTGAAGCTCGTGTGGCGTGCAAGACGTGCGAAACAACCACCCCAGTGAGGCGGATCATTTTCTATCCATCTCTACACTCTAAGGTCTACCTTGCAGCGCTGCATGGCCATCGGCCTCCTGACCCGCCTAGCCTCCAAACGTCTGGACCCACCCACACCATCTGGCAATCCAACACCACCACGGAAGGGGTGGTTGTTGGTTGGACACTACGGACGCCATACTCACAGGGGGTGACCATCCACCCGGTTATGCCGTGATCCCCCAAACACCGAGCCCTTTTCGGGGGGGCCCTTCTCCTCCGGCGCGTTCGGTGCCGAACGGACCGCCTCGTCCGTCCCACGCCGTCGAAGCGGCCGAGGTGACTCTCGCCTCCCAGCAGATAGGTTCGCTGAGCGCCTCCGAAGCGTTGCGCCCCGTGGGACGCTTTGGAGCGGGGCAGAGACGGAGGAGTTCTCCTGGAGAGTGAGGAAGACGGAGCGATTGAGGGGCAGGTGCAAGGAGCGATTGAGTACTCAGGTGTCCAACACTACAGAGGTCGGTCCAAGATGTCCAAGCATGTCCCAGCATTGTGTCCTGGTTACCATCTACTCCCACTGGTCTACCCTGTACTACTCTGGTGCCTTGGTTCTGGGACTAAGATGGACCGGCCGATCTCCCCTTTCCGGATGAAACATCTTCACAGTCGACTCAACGATGTGGGGGGGGCATTTGTCCTAGACACTCCATGGGACTGCCATAGGACTGCCACCCCAGACAGACCCCCCTGGCACCAGCCCTGGCCGTTTCTCGGCATCTATGGCACACATGGAGTGTCTGGGTCTTGGAGGGACTGCGAACACCGAAAAGCGTCCTCGTCGTCTCCCGGTCCGCGCCTCCCGGAGCGCGCCGGTCCGCGCCGACCGCCCTTCCCCACGTCCCCACTGACAACGCCCCGCCCGTGACGGTTCCGACTGAGGGGGCTCGGGTTGTGCCTGAACTCGAGTGGTTCCTGGGTGGTTTGGGAGGAGGTCTCCCGAACACCGAAGCGTCCGGTCCGGTCGACCTAAAGGGTCGGGCCACACGGTCAGGCGGTCAGTAGCGGCAGACACACACGACCAGGTGGCCAGCGGCAGCGGCCTCACTGGTGGAGTGGCTTGGCAGAGACGACCAGAGGAGACTGACTGGAGGACTCGGGAGGAACCAGACGTGGGCAGACGCCCGTTGACGAAAGGGAAGGGAAAAGAAAGGGGATGCCGGGGAGGCTGTTTGATTCTTCTTAAGGAAGTTGTTTTTGGGTATGGTCGTTCAATCTTTTTTCCTTGTTCCAAGTTTGAGTGGGCTGGCTTGGTGTTCGCTTGCTTGTGTTCAAATTAAGGGGTTGCCTTGAATGTTGAACAAGTCAGTTAGAAAAGAACACCTTCGGATGGTGAGACCATGAGTGAGAGGACACTTCTTGAGTGCCACTTCTTAGGTCCCAAATGAGCCACCCATTTCACTCTGGCTCAACCTCTCTGGGGCGGTTGCATGAATTTTCCGATTGTTATTTGGGCCACGTACGACAGACGGGGAGACTGGCCCATGAGGCAAACGAAGAGGGGAGATTGGTGAGGATTTTGCATGGCGAGAATGTGTATACTTCCAATATACATATACCGGCCCCAAACACCAGATTCCGCCCAGGTCTGGCTGAGGTCAAGCAGACGTTGCGCAACGCAGTTCGAGGCCAGTTCCAGCAAGAGATCTGATCAGGAGCAGCCAAGGGCAAGACTGTCTGTAGGTTGGTTTCTACCTGTTTCTACCTGCTTCGAACGGGGTCTACCTACCGCTTGCAACCCTACAGCTGCCTACAGGTCTCCATACTGGCTCTTCCGACCTTCCGAGAACACTCCCACCTGCTGGCGGCCGAGGGCGCGAGGTGCCCTCGGCGGAGGCGATGCTGTTCACGGCCGGTCTGCCGGGGTGCCACGGGGATGCCGCGGAGGGAATGGGAGGAAGGATTGGGAGTATAAAGTGCAGTATGATGAAGTATGGGGGCTGGAAGGGGAGGGGGGGAGATTGTTTGGTTGTCTATTGCTGTATGGCGTGGACGACTGACAAGTTCTTGTTTTGCATCATCAAACCTGTTTGTGTTGGAAGGGCCCTTCAGCGCGACTTTGTTTGGTGATGGCTGCTTCATGGGTGTTGCATGGGCGTTGCATACAGGTTTGAAGAGCAAGTCACGAACTCGACTTCAACACCGGCACGGAAAACCAAGACAGAGAAGGTGCTTCCATCTTTTTCCCACCAGCCAAGCTGGCCACGTTGCTTCAAGCTAACCAGCATCCCTTTTGGGTCCCACTGTGTGCGCCACGGCCTGCGTGGCCGCGCCTGCGCGGCCTGCGTGGCGCGCCGAGGATTGCAGCCATCATGGATCGGGGCCTCAGGTCTCGGAGGTTTTTTGAGGGGAGTGGAGCCCACGAAACGCCAGGCGTTTCCAAGATGGAGCCCACGAACCCGAATGCAAACACATACGTCAAACCACTGTGTATAAAAAGAGACACAGCCGGTGGGAATCTCTTTTTCACTCTCTGACACGTTGTTGGACATCATGCGCTGGGGACTCCACCACCAAGGCAGCATGCGCTGGGGACTTCACCACCAAGCTCTGTCTTCATCATGAAGGATTTTTGTTTTGCATTCAAATCAAGCACTGGCGTAAAGGGTCTGGCAGATCCGCGGCACGAAAGAAACAATGGCATTGTCCCAAAATCTCGAAAATAAGCACTTGAAAATGATAACCGTCCACATAATACAGAGAAATCCACAATTGCGGCGTCTGATCTTCTTGTAAATAGGAGTGCAAGACCGTGCGTTGTTGTGGTTCGCCTGCATCGACAAGAAGTATATGAGACACACACACAACGGAAGTGAAGAAAACTATCCTATAGGTCCAACATTCGTATGGATATATCGCACACACGTTTGTTAGATGTGTCACCGGAGCCTCGAACAACAGACGTCTGGGTCCAAGTATTTCCAGCAATGATGAAGCCAAGATTGAGCTCCGTGGCCAACGCAACAAAGTCGACGTCTGTTGCCCAATGAGCATTCCCACAAGCTTCGAGAGCAGTGCTCACGGCATCCTGCAAAGACACCAGGGCCGCAGTGCCAGAACGCACTCTCTTGCTCCTCGTCACGGAGCTGTCGCCCTCTTTGTAGCGAACTAGCATGGCGTCGTCTGCAACTTCTGCTCCGAGAACATCGTTGGCGTCTTTCAAGAAAGCAAAAGGGGAGCCACGCAAGAGTGCGATCATGGACCAGTCGTCCAGCCATGTCCTCGCAGCTTCGCGCACCAAACACCCTACGACGAAGTTCAAGAATGCTTTTGGCGTCTTGGCGCGCATGTGTCGCCCGACAATCTTGCGGAGAGCAGCCGCGACCGTAATTCGGTCGTCCCAGTCAGCCACCTCATCGGAAGTGAAAAGATTCAAGAGTCGTGGGTGGAGTGCTCGCGCCTGCATCAGGACGACCGCAGTGGACAAGAAGAAGCAATCGCCGCCTCCACCAGCTTCGGCGGCAAAGACACGCAGAGCCCCGTGTTCTCGGAAAAATTGTGCCGTGGGAGTGGCCACCTCTTCCAGCAAAAGAGACCAGATCTCGCAGAAATCCGTTCGCAGCTGACGCCACTTGGTGGGGTCGTACTTCCTTTTGGTTCCCCTGAACTCAGTCACTACGCTCGCCTTCGTAGCCGCCGTCCAAGCCCCTGGGACGTACTGAAAGCGACCCTCTGGTGTTCTGCGGGCCGGTCGCGGTAGGTGTTCCGCGGCTGGAAAACCAGGCAGATGTCTGCGAGCTTCTTCGATGGCGGAGCGAGACAAAAGCGCAACCTCCTGCGAACAACGATACAAGATCGACACACGCGCCTGCGGATGGAATGCTATTTCATATCTTATCACTCGAGCAGGGTGAATCAATCCGTGGATATCCAATATAGCACATTAAACAAGCCAACAAGCACATCAGAGTCCTCCAGTCGATCCAAAAACTCGGCAATATACGCAGGTGGACCAGTCTCAAAGATCGAAAAATCAATATCGCCTTCTGGCGTCTCCGGCAAATTGCGAAATAAGGAATACTCGAGAGCTTGAGCGCGTCCAAGAATCATGTACAAGTGCTGCGTATAATCGTCTGCCGAAAAATAATCTGGCTTCGAAAAATCAATCGTGTGCCCAACTCCTTTGATGGTCTTGCCTTGGGCATTGTTGTAGGTTCCAGCAGCCAGCGGAGCAAGAGGATACTGTATCCGAGTAACATCCAACATCAAGGCTCCTTTGCGATGCAATTGCACGCGGAAAGAATCTTCACTCGGTTCTAAATGCCACACTCCAGGCAGAAGCTGTCCGGTATAATCTTCTTGCTGATCCTGTTGCAAGTCAGGT